TTCGCGGCTTTCCGGCGCTCTTCGGCCTCTCGTGCATATGTGGCCCGCTTGTTCAACTCCAATTCGCGCTCCAACTGCTTCCTTTGCCGCTCACTGAGAACTGGGCCATTTTTTCGATGTTGTCGCTTGACTTCGGTCGAGGTTTGCGCGATTCTGTGCGGGGTTGGTGTCATTGTGGGGCGCGCATCGCGTTGATGAGGGGGATGTGGGCAAGGGCATGGGGAGTGTGGCGGTGGATGTTTTGCATAGCCGCGCTAGCGACACGAAGTCACGTGCTTTTACCAATGACCATACTAGCAGCCAACAACCCCTTTTTGTGATCTTCCAAAGCAGTCTCAATTGGAAATCCTACTGAAACTCTGAAATTAGTGTTGATAAAACATCTTTGCATAGTACTGGAACCACTATGTACGCGAAACCTGTGTCACACCACTGCATGATAGACAAAGCCAACTTCAATTCATCCTGATGGGTCGCCGTCTCCAAACCTACGCGGCTTTGATAATCATCTTACTCCATCTGCAATGGAACAAACAACATACATGCAGCAGACTAGGTTCATTCAGGCTCACAATGAGCGGGAAAAGAACATCCGACCTTCTCAAAGCACACCTACCCCGCGCGCGAGCCGCCTTGCAACATTGCGCATCACCCTCCTTCCGGCATCCGTGCATCCGAACAGCTTCCCGAATTGCAGCTTGTAAGATGCTAGTCCCAATCTAGTAGCGGGGATGTAGTGAAGGCAGCTGGGAGAATGATGGCCTATAGACGTACTGGAATTCAATACCTTTACAAAAGCGTGTAATTTGCAACTTCATACTAATCTTGTTGCCATGTCTTTCGCCTTGAAAGGAGTTGCATACATTACTGGTGCTGGCTCTGGTATGTCCAACAGACTGATGCGTCAGGCCTCGTAATTCCTGTGGCTAACATGATCAAGGCATCGGACAGCACACTGCATATGCTCTTGCAAGGCAGGGAGTACGCTCATTCGCCCTCGTCGATCGAAACCCCGTATCAAAGACGGTCGGCCAACTAAACAAGATATCGCCTAATGTCTTGGTCAAGGAGTTCGAGTTAGATGTTACCGACGAAAAAGCTGTTGATGATAGCATAGAAAAGACTGTTAAAGAATTCGGTAGATTGGACTACGCGGTCAACAATGCAGGAATCGGCGGCATGATCAAAACATCGGATCAAATACCAAGAGACGACTTCGAGAAGATCATGTCTGTGAATACGATTGCTGTCTGGCAATGTCAGCGCGCGCAGATCCGGCAGATGCTGAAGCAAGACAAATTATCAGACTCTTATCGCTCTTATCGGGGGTCAATCGTCAACGTAGCGTCCATGTACGGCGTGGTAGCACCACCGCTAAATGTCCCGGCTACAGCATACGCTACAAGCAAACATGCAGTTGTCGGTCTTACCAAATCTGACGCACTCGCATTCGCACACAAGGGTATCAGAATCAATGCCATATCCCCTGGCTATGTGTTGACGCCGCTGGTCAGGGAAACCATGAGCAAAGGCGACATGATAGAGCAAGAGAGGTTGAAGGTTCCAATTCGTCGCTACTCAGAAATGGAAGAGATTGGCGATTGTGTCGCATTTCTGCATTCCGATGCGGCTAGTTACATGATTGGGGCCAACTTAGTTGCAGACGGCGGTTATACAGTCTCATAGAGAGTGGCGCAAGTGCATTCATCCAGTTCTTGGCCGACCATTCATTCATACGATATCATATATTCTGCATATGTACGAAACGCCTTTGCCAACAACATTCATCAAAGTCGGGGTCATCTCGGCAGACTTGTTTTCTCCGCCCCAACTGTAACTGCTAGCTCCACCTCGCCTGGAGATTTACATTTGATACTGTATTCCGACAACTTCATCGTGCTGACTATCCAGGGCTCGCACGAGTCGCCCACTGATATTCGGTCCAATTTTCAAGGGTCAGTTTTCGAGTTCCCGTGTCATGCAATGATTACCTAGCTACGGAAATCGTTTGCCACGTCATGCTACAGGGTGTTACTTGCGTCTTTCCTCCTTATTACGAGTCATCCACACTAAACGGTGCCCCGGTATGAATTCGAATGCACTTAGCCGAACCCCAGATTTTGACGCATGACTAGCCTGACTCAAATTGTGGAGCGATCGATCGCATGCCTGACTCTTTGGGAACAGGGCGTTGTAATCCTGTCAAAACCATAGAGTTTAAGAACCTGTATATCTCCGGTCGAAGCTGTTGATCATATTGTCTTTCTTCATAGTTCCTTTTTCGAATAATATAACCCCTTCACAAAATGGCAGACGGATTTATCATCCCGTCATCAGCCAGTCCAGAATCGGATGCTCAATACCGATTACGAGGACCAATTCATGCGCAACGCCATGTCCGCGTCATATGTATCGGTGCCGGTGCTTCAGGCCTTCTGATGGCATACAAGCTGCAAAGACATTTTTCCAACTACAGTCTCCAGGTCTATGAGAAAAATCCCGAAGTATCCGGCACTTGGTATGAAAACCGATATCCGGGGTAAGTACCGGCTAAGATCTTGGATGCGGGGACGATGCTACTCTGGCCCCACAACTAGCCCTTACCAACCCATCTATAGAAAAGCAAGGCAATTACTAATTTTCACTTGCAGATGCGCATGCGATGTACCTTCACACAACTATACATGGTCTTTTTTTCCGAAACTTGACTGGTCGGCTGTCTACGCCAGTTCCAAGGAGATATACACATACTTCAACGACTTTGCACTCAAGTTCGGACTCCATAAATATGTCAAGACCCAACACCAGGTCATTAGTGCACAATGGAACCAGCAAAAAGGAGGTTACAACGTGCAAGTCAAAGACCTCGAGACTGGCCGGATTGTGAATGACCATTGTGATATCTTAGTGAATGCTGGAGGCATTCTGAACAATTGGCAATGGCCCGCTATACCGGGTCTGGAAAAATACAAAGGCACACTACTGCACACTGCGAATTGGGACGAGAGTATTGACCTAAAAGGCAAGAATGTTGGTCTTATTGGAAATGGGTGAGCCTTCTTTACTTCCCAGTATCTAGCATACATTAACCCATCAAAGCTCTTCCGGCATCCAAGTTCTTCCAACAATCCAACCCTATGTAAAGAAAGTGACCACATTCATTCGCGAGCCAGCTTGGGTCTCACCTGTCCAAGGACTCGAGCAACACGTCTTCTCTGACAGTGAAAAGCTAGCATTTGCTACACAACCCGGAGTCTTGCGCGGTTACCGCAAGGATGTTGAGCGAGGTCTCAATGGCCAATTTGGTGTCTTCCTCAAAAACACAAACATACATAATGAAACCGAAGCCTACTTCCGCGAGCAAATGTCAGAAAAGCTACAGGACGAATACCTCAGGGAGCGCCTAATTCCAAATTGGCAAGCCGGTTGCAGACGACTTACACCCGGCGTGGGCTACCTCGAAGCCCTCAGCAAGCCAAACGTACAAACAGTATACGGCGAGATCAACGCAATAACCGAGCGTGGCTGTCTCTGCGACGACGGAAATGAATACCCCGTCGACGTCCTCATCTGCGCCACCGGCTTCAACACATCCTTCAAGCCACGCTTCCCCGTCATAAACCCTTCGGGAACCAACCTCCAAGACGCCTGGTCCAAAGAACCACGCTCCTACTTCGGCCTCGCTGCCGCCGACTTCCCCAACTACCTCATCTTCCTCGGTCCCAACTGCCCGATCGGCAACGGACCCGTCCTCAGCGCCATCGAAGCCCAAGCCGACTACATGTGCAAGCTCATCGACCGCTTCCAAACCCACAACATATCCTCTTTCGCACCAAAAGCAGAAGCAATCGACGACTTCATCGCCTTCAAAAACGAATTCATGAAGAAAACAGTATGGAACGACCCTTGCCGCTCCTGGTACAAATCCCTCGGCCCCGATGGCCCCGTCACCGCGCTCTGGCCAGGCTCAACACTGCACTACATCGAGGCGCTGATGGAACTGCGCATGGACGACTGGGACGTCAAGTATACAGGCAACAGGTTTAGTTGGCTGGGCAATGGGTATTCACAGACGGAGATTGATCCGACGGCTGATTGGGCGTTTTATATCCGCGAGCAAGATGATGATGAGCCGATTTCAAGGCTGAGGAAGCTGAGAATTTTGAACAAGAGCGGGACGGTGGAGCCGTCGGCTGGGGTGGATTTTACGGGGGCGAGGGCGAAGGAGAGTGTGGGGGCGGTGGAGGCGAAGTTGTGAGGGTGAGGGAGTGGGAATGCATGGGAGTGAGGAGTAGGTGGGGTTTTTCCGCTGTATAATTTCGGGTGGTGATTTGCGAAAATCTTCGTGGAATTATGTATTGAGTAGTCGTTCTAGTTGTTTCGAAGAATGTTTTTTTATGCAATAACTGGTTCTCGGCAACAAGCCAATGTGGTTCACGGTACCTATCGCTAAGCGTCTAATGGTGCAAAGTGTCAATGAGCATGCATAGTGCATTTATGAAAAGGGGGAGGTCAGATAGTAGCTGTACTATCTAGCACGATTTCAACAGGTAGAAATGAACAATGAGAATACTCTATTTGATACTCTATGGTTTGTCAGATACTTCCAAATATACTATTGGACCGTAATCCTTGAGATGTCCCTCCTGACTCAAGGCCTCTCGTCATAAAAGAATAGCTACTCGATCTTTCATCGGCGTTCAACCCCGGGCGGAATATACTCCCTACGCATTAAGAGCGCATGAACAAACAAGCAGCCGAATCTCATAGCATTAGTCCATCTAGAAATAGATATCCAACCCTTGTGTCTCTAAATCAAAACAACCAACTCCTTCAACAATACAAAGCTCTAGCAATTTCATCCTCGCCATCTTCACCCAGTCTTTCCTCCATCATGAAAGAGAACCCCCTAAATCGCAACCACTTCCACCTATATCCCACCAATGTATTGTGTGATCATATTGCACAAACACATATCCATGAATTTCGTATGGCACTCACTAGCTGTGCCTTGAACATTGATAGTGCGTCTTTGTCTGGGTATGCCATTTTGTAATCCTCCGTGTCCTCGTCCTCGTCACCGTCGCAGTCTCACTCTTCACTAGCACTTCCATCCTCGGCACAGTTCTCACGAGGGTAGGAAGTGCGGTTACGGTTGTTACGTGTGTGATGATGTTAGGGTTGGGACGCCGGATGCCTTGGGCAAGCTTTGCGGGATCGAGGGGAGTGGGCATGACGTTGGCGGGTATAGACTGCGTGGCGATGACGGTGCGAGCGGGGTATTTGTCGAGGAAGGGGTGGGAATTCCAGAAATTGAGGAGGAAGGGTGGACGCTTCGCGAAGGCGGTGGAGAGAGTGGGTGTTGGTTGCGGTTCTTCGTTTGGAGGAATTGCGGTAGCTGTGGGAGATGGCTGAGAAGCTTCGGAATCAACAATGGCGGTTTGGGATGTGGCACTTTCGGTCCTCGTGCTTGGGTGTGATGCCATCTGAGTCCCATAATAAAAGCTAGTAGATGATAGAGGAGGCAGTAATCTTGTCGATTCGTGCATGGTCACAGGGATATCCTTCTTTCTCTTCGTCAACTGAACTCTTGGCACTGAGTCCTCCAGGGATCTCCCATTCAAGAGACTGTATGGTACTGTTTCAAACGCTTTGAGCACCTTTGACATCGACACTATCGCGCTTTGTGCAGCCTCTGTGATTCTACCCCCGATGGGCAATGCAAACTCGAGAGATTTGATAGAAATCTCAGCAAACATTCCAACCATAGCGGTCGCATTCTCGGTCTCGTGCCATTGTGCAAGGTTGATTTTCGCGTCTCTGTGCGGAAGTCGCGACAAAGCATTGCAGCTCAGCTTGTTGAATTCCCTTAGCGATTTCGACGCATTAGGCTGGTGAGCTGCAATCGAGGCAAATTGCGTTTGTTGGGAGGTCAATTCCTTCAAGAGACGACTGTAAGTTCTTTCCAGATCTTGAGCGCGGTCGATGTATCGGAGGCGTGCTTCCAATTGAGATACGAATGGAGCTGTGGCCGGTTGATGAGTACCCAAGGCAAGGAGAAGCGCGTTAGTGAGCTTATTGAACCCAGCATTTAGTGCAGTATTGATTGTCTTTTCATCAATCTTACCCTTCTTTTTCTTCTTCTTCGACTTCTTCTTGAGGGTCTTAACGAAATCAGGGTACAGGGTCTTGCAGACCGATTTTGAAAATCCGGTAACGAACCCATTTCCGAAGATGTAGTTTGCGCCAAACTCTAGAACATCGCTCGTCTGAGGAACCTTGTTCATCTTCGCTACCAAGGATTCCATGATATCTTTACAGACAAGAGCTGGGTAGACCAAGGTGCTGTTCTTTGGATGTTTCAAGAAAAATTCGACGTCATCCGCAGGAACCAAAAGACCAGCCAGGTATCCACCTGCTTTTTCTCCTGGTAGCTTGCCCAAGTAACTCATGTCAGGCCAAAGCCCATAGTCTATGGGTTCGAATTTACCCATCAATTCGATCAAGAGACTTTGTGCTGCCAGCCAGATAACGGGGGTTTCTCCCAGAGGGGGATATATCAACGATTTGTACTCGATGTGCCAGTCGGGAAACGGTCCGAACAGACCTGGGTTATTGTTCTCTGCGCTAACTTTGCCCGTGAGGGCGAAGAACGAAAGGACATTGCAGGCGAAGCGTATGATTTTCGTCATGCCAGATAGTAGGTATGGTTTGGAAGTTGAACGAGAGTGTTAACATGGCGAAAATGCAGACCGGAACTCTATATAAGAATACCATTGACGGGATATAACCGTAGACTGTATCATATGTGAAATTTGCTCTTAGTTGGATCAATTATCGGTAGAAAGTACAAGTGATGCAAGAAATAGACGCGTTAGATTTGTGGGTGTAATTATATCAAATGTATTCGTCGATTTGGATGGGTTCAGTGGGCCGTACCTGGGACTGAGGATCTTTGTAATGAGAGTGGCTTGAATAGGCCCACCTTGACCGATTCTGATTGAGGTGCTTTACCAAGAGAAGTCGGACACAATCTGTACATATGGCAACGCTCGAATTGTAATCACGCGTCAGCTGAGTGGTGCAGGGTCGGCATTCTATTGGTGTAGACTCGGGTTGGGCGAAGAGAGTCATATGTGGGGACACCATCAAAGGGAGAAAGATAACAGGGGCTCGTCGATCAAAGCAGGGTAACGAATCTACTGAAACTCTATCCCCGCACTCTCATCCTGCAGCTAGTGTACACTAACATCAAGTAAACTATTGCCATGCTGTAGGGGCAGCGAAGAGAGACCTGTGCTCCAAAACCAGTAGCATATAGAACAGCAAATACGTCCCAATGGGCTTTGAGACGCATCTTACGTATCGCGTGTGGCTAGAACTTACAAACCCGGCTCAACCGTTACTCGATGCATTTGTTGAATTCGACATGATTTAGGGAAAGGGAACAGTCCCCTTGGCACGGATCGGAGCGGGCCCTAATGTAGGCGGAGGGCCAGTGTGGGAGGTGTTGGCATACGTAAAGGTAATTGCCCCTAAGTTCTGCACTTCACTCACTGTATCCCTGCATCGCCACACATCATGTTGTCATCTTACATATACTTTCAATGAATGTGAATATGAGCTAAGGATCTTGAACAACCTAATATGGATCATCCGTATAAGACGTGAGTTATTTTGTTCCATTAGCTATGTGCGGTATTTAAAGTTCAGTCTCTTGAAGAGAACTGAATGGAAGACTGGAGATATTGGTTGCGTCATGTTGTATATAAGCGGCTTGTCTTATTACAAAGTTTTGACCATATGAGCCACCATTCTACGGAGCTGAGGAGGGTGATGGCGATGGTGATGCTGAAAGCGAAGATACAGGTGAGCTTCCGGGACTTGGCCCTGGCCATCCCGCCCATCGACTATCGGGATCAAGCACCGTACCTTCGGGGGTCCACTTCCCGACAGGAGATGTCCAATTCTGGATTGCATTAGGGTTGATGCCCACGTCAATAGTTGCATACAATCCGTCCTCCAAGGTTTTGCCGATCATCACGACCTCCATGATAGGATCATCGTCGGTTGCATTAGCGTAGGCAAATAGCGCATCATTCGCATTGAATATATAGGGTTGTTTGTTCAAGGTGTAGGGATAGGATGTCTCGAGGTCAAAGAGGAAGTCCTGGTCAAAGTAAAATTGACCAACGTGAGAAATAGTACCACCTGTGATGGTGTTGTTCGGAAGGAGTTTGGCGTCATGGTGAACCAGAGCTAAGATCATTAGTTTCGAAGCATGGAGTAACAGATGGGTGTTTTACTGTGCAGATGATTTGCACGGGTGCCATAGTGTCCTGGAAGGAGCGTGATGAAGGAAGCAGTGCCGCCATCATCTGTTGGCTGTAGGCCACGCAGGGCATTCGAGGAAAGGTCTGAGGAGCCATCGCCGTTGGCAGTGGATTGCACGCCAGAGTAGACACCAGTCACGTTAGCTCCCCATAGCTCGATATAAGCACCTTTGATGGGCTTGCAATTCCGTACGTCGATCAGATTAATGTCGACATGTGCTTTCGGGCCTATCTGGCCAGACACGATATTCTTCCGAACGAGTTCGCCCGAAACATCTCAAGATGTATTAGCAGACATACTTTTCGTCTCCTGGATTTAGGAACTTACAGAAAGGGCCCTCAGTTTGCTCGACATCGAGCGTGCATGCCGCCTTTTTACCATAGCTCGATTCAACTTCTACAGGGTCGCGACGAACCAACTCGTGCATTTGTGCAAAGCCGGCTTCGACACGCAGTTCATGAAGCCTGTCCTCGCGCCTTTGGTGCTGCTCCCTGACCCACCCGGAATCTACAAGACTCCGCTTGCAATCCAGAACGCTCCGACGTTCTGGGTGGTTGAGATGGGCTTTTCTTCTCAAGATTTCCTTGTTGATATCGCCGTGTGCAAATACATTGGAAGCCAGAAAGGCAGCAGTGAAAACTGGTATAAGGTGAACCATGATGGCAGCAAAGAATCTGTGAACGAGAACAATCTTCTTTCCGTTATATCACTACATCGCTTGGTTATTCATATGTCCAGTCCCCAGTGCATTGTTGTCATTGGAGTTGGGGAGGTGCAGATCTGCAATACCACCATTTTAGCATTAGATCTGTGTTCCCAATAGTGCTTACTCTTAAATCATTGTTGAGATACAAGGCTGTAATTGCAATTATTCTCACCGCCATCGGCAGCGGCAACTCCTCATTCCCGTGCACATCAAGCAGCTATACTGTCGATCGTTCAGTATCTCTCCTCGGCAGTTTATAGCATGGGGAGCCTTGATCCTAGTACATAGAATGCTCTGTGGAGATTGCTGACTGTTGGGCATGAATAGAAGGCATTCACTTAGTATTCGTAGCCAGACGCGGTCACATAACTCAGTCCATCTATCAGACGCTCACACTGTAAACTGATTATCGAGACGAACATACTAAGCTGTAAAGACATATTCTTCGTTTATTATTGTCTGATGCGTTGACCCCGCATTAGAAGGACCCGATGCAAAATTGATGATTTTCACCTAAGTAACCCTTTCTAGCTAAGCCGGATCGAGCTGGCTATTAGGGGCATACTGCAGGCATGCAACCAAGTAAGCCTATAGTCGAATAGTCACAGTGGTCTTTATCCTAATGCTAATAGGGAAAAGGGGCTTAAGAATGTATATAATCATCACGGACATATGTGGCGGCTTACGCGGCACGGCTCGTGACTGCATCCGGACCGGGCTCATCATGCTGGCGTCTGTCCCCTTGGCTGGGATACATGTGAACTGCATTAGCTACTTTGTAAACTTTAACTTTTGAATCTTCGTCATTGGGTGGAAAATACAGTCAAGCCAAGGATTTCATCAACTACTTGTGTGCTAGTAGGGTGATCGCCCAATCACGAAGCTCATAGCGTATGTGAGAACATGTGGATCTTCGCGCATCAATGCCGAAAGTAAATTGTGAGAGTCATCGATTCATACTTCAGTTATTACCAAGCTCCCAAGAGCAAGTATATTTCTAAGCCATCGTGGCCAATGAGTAGGAGAAAGCTAATTTAGGACTTTTCTCTAGTGGATAACCTGCTTGACTTTTTGTATATTTTTATGAAGATGTTCTTTTCTCTGTCGGAAATCTCAATTGTGAATCGAGATGTGCTATGAAAAAACTGCCATTTTTTTCGCATCAAGTGCGCCTCTTTGATCAGCTGTCGAATCGGGATGGATGATGAGATGAGATGATGAGATGAGATGAGATGATGAGATGAGATAAGATGATGAGATGAGATGAGATGAGATGAGATGATGAGATGAGATGATGGATGATGAGATGAGATGATGGATGATGAGATGAGATGACGAATGTATCCTTAGAAACTTCAACCAGAAACCAGGTTATAATCAGACCTGACCAACTTTCACGTATTTTCAAGATGACCTAGATTCTTGTTTGAAACATGGAAGAGTCACAATGACACGTGCTGATGAATTGGTTCCGAGTACAAGATGGTTGGAGAGCAGGTTGCTAGCCGGCAGACATGGACGCAGGAAAGTCACGTGACACGTGACATCACTATTTGGTAACAAATCTTCGACAAATACTAATTTACAATTCACTCCATTGCATATAGCTTGTGTTGACATCAGGTATCTGGTTTGGTAATTCGGTTGAATGCATTTAGAACCTCACTGCAAATGCTCATCGCTTAGAATCAGGGCTCAAGGTACCGGAAGCAGATTTTGGTAAGCTTTGGACGCTGAGTTTCCTGGAGACGATATCGAGAGAGAGCCTCAATCTAGAATAACAAAAATGGCCGTGTGACTTAAATTACTCAGAGACAAAGGAAGCTAGAGGCAGGGGACATTTGAGGCAAATGAAAAGACGAGGCGTAGCTTTTCAGCGCCAATCAATAGAAGGGTCGTCATAGCATCTGTTCCTGGTAGTTTCATCTTGAAATCTAAGTACTGGATGTTGTTTTTGCTCTGAGTTGAATATGCTTGCAGATCTTTGTTTTACTAGCACCCGTCAGGTAGCTTTGCTGTCTCACCCGCTGATGGGACTGGATATTCCATCCGCCAAAGGCGGCCCTTCGAGTTGACAAGCAGAATCGCATAGGCAATATTCCACGATACATATGGCCAAAAAGGCTCGCCCAGGGCTCACGCGACATTCCCGTCGGATGAAAATTGGATGATCAAGAGAAAATCGTGGATCAAGGGACAAAACTGCCAAGGAGTAACCTTGGGGAACGCGCCGAACCTTGTCGCACGTACCACTAGAGACAGATGGACTCGTAAAAGGGTCAGGCCTCAGATCTTGGTTACGCGAGAATTTATTTTGTGAGGTGCTACAGCCTACTACTCAGTCTAGCCCTGGGATTCTTGGGCCATGTTCGGTTCTTGCTCCTGAACGATTGTCGCTTATGACGCCATCATATACTGTGTAAACGAGTAAAAAGGAATATTTCCTTGCAGCTCTGGCAAAAGAAGACATGGTGTACAAAAGCATGGTTGGATAAAAGAGCAACGAGAGGTGCGCTCCTTACCCAGGCAGAAATAACGCTGTTTCTGATTCGTCACTTGCTCGCGACTAGCCATTCCTTCGTCGCTGACTGAAACAGCAACACCCAACCGCTGAAACACGCAACGCCAGGACAATCCCGACACCATTGTCTTATATTGTTTTATCTACCGTGTCGCGCTCTGGAGATGGCGCTATGCAGTGGAATAAAGCCTGAGAACCATTATCTGGCCAATAGCCATGCCAATAGCCGCGCCCAGTATGCTTCGGCGGCCATCGATAATCTTAACATCTTGCATGCTTACGAATAGAATGGCAGCAGTGTGAAGAGCCAGTGTGTGATGATTGCAAATAACCGAGGAAACATTGCTTCTTTCCTGAAACCTCGCAATAACTATTGAAGGCGGCGGACGTCAATCCTCTCGCCTGTCACTGTTTCTCTTCTGTCTCCTTTTGTCTCTAAAACCGCCTCAGGCAATGGACACTCGCGTCGATTCTCTGAATACTTCAAACCTCGACTATGCCAAATATCTCAATGACTCCAAATCCTCAAAGTACTTCTCCAGCCACAAGGCAAATCTATCGGGCGCAACAATGCTTGACCTGCTTAGTGGAACTGAAGGTTCCATCGCTGCCGCGTATCAAACTTCGCATTCGAAGCCTCACCCGTCGAGACCAAACCGGCCTTCAGATGTCTCCTCGAGCAAGAATGAATTGCGACAAACAAATCGGATGCTGGTGGAAATAGTCCAGAACGCCCAACTGGAACTCGCAACGCAAAGACAAACGATGCTCGACATGCAATCGCGGATCCTCCAGCTCGAGCATGTCTTGTACAAGAGTAACAGCAGCACCCCAGAATCGTTCGCAAGCACCACTACCACTGCCACCACGCAACGAGCAACTTCTCAAACCAAGCCAGTAGAAGAAAAGATACTCGTCAACTCAGCAGCCCAACACCAAGCATCCAGCCTCTCCGTCACCCCCACCAACAAGCCCGAATTCTGGAAATCCCCCAGCCGCTTCTCCGGCTTCAACTTCAACTTCGACCTCCTCGAAACCGTTCCAAGAAGCTCTAAACAATCCCAGCACTTGCAATCGCAAAAACACCAACACCAGCAAAAACAACAACGACAACAACAACAACAAAAACACACCCCAGAAACCCCACAAGTCTACAAACCCTCCCGCCCCCCTGCGCCCCCCGCAAAGTCCCCTCGTAACACCACCACCCAAAACGCCCCCCACCACAACCACATCCATCGCACTCTCACCAAAAAATCCTCAGAAGCAACCCTACTCACCCGCCCATCCCCTTCCCACGACACACCCGCAAGCGACATAAAAGAACACATAGTCGAGTACGAACACGTCAAAATCCCCTTCCCACCGCTCCTCCACTCGCCGCCCAAGACCGCGCGCAGCAAACTAGCGTCCACAGTGCAGAGCAGAGACGACGAGTTGACCGCGTTGCCGCGGATGCCAGAGCAGGTTCCGGCTGTGGTGCAGGAGCAAGTGGTGGTGGTGGCGGCGGGGGCTGCAAAGGGGCCGAGGAGGGGGATAAAGCATATACGGATTAGTCGGTCTTTTTCGAGGAGTTTTCGGATTGATTGTGGGAATGGGGGGAGAGGCACGTGAGTCATTTTGGGTTGCTTGGAGGATGATGGATGGGGGAAACAAGAGAAAGAGGGGATGGCGTGTTTTGTTTTTGTTTTTTTGTTTTTTTTCGGCCGGGATATCATGCGTATTGAGGTCCTAGGGACTTCCGCATTACCACTGTACTTGTAACAATTTTCTTTGTTCTTCTTTGTTTTTTTTTACAAGACGATATCGCTCAGGAAAGCGTGAATGCGGCGTGCTACGACTACAACAACCTTTTTTTTGTAGAGTATGTTTCAATTGTTTATTTTGTTTGTATTATATCATATCCAACTTAATGAGAGGAGTACTATACAGCTTGATTGAAAAACTGCTGACACGATTGAATCGAGACCAAATAAAACTTTCACCATCAATGCGTAGCGATTTATATAGAGATATTTTATCTCATCCCTTTACTTCCTCCTGTTTTGCTGCATTCCGAGAATCTGCACCATACGGATGAAGATGTTGATAAAGTCCAACTCGAGTGAGATGGCCTCGTTTACAGGATCCTTGGGAATCAAACCACGCTCGGCCATACGAGCATGGTTGAGCACCTTCTGCACATCGTACAGGGTAAATCCGCCAAAGACAGCGAGGCCACCGTATAACCAGATGTTCTCAGTGAACATCAAAGTGCGAGCAGCGGTAGCAGGGACGACCATGGGAGCGAGACCAGAAAGCGCGACGATGGCGACACCAGCGAGAAGAGGACCACCGAGGTACATGTACTTGTCCGTCTTTGCAGTAGCACCGACGAACGCGAGAGAGCCCATCATTCCAGCAGTGTAAAGTCCAGCGCGAGCGAGGATGGCGGGGTGCATGAAGAAGAGCGGCGACAGGAGCAGGGCCTGGGTGCCATTGAAAGCGGTCCAGAGAGCATACTTTTGCACGTAGCTAAGATTGGTCAGTATTTTCGCCTACCAAAGTTTATGCTGATCGGCAGATACTTACTTGCTAGGGTGTGTTGCCATAGTGCCATACATAGTTCCGATGCTACCAACAAGTCCAACGCCCAGCACCAGCCATGGGTTCGCGCTCATGAGCCTGAAACTCCAGCCGTTCATGTGCAGAGCGCGCGCAGCAATACCGATCATTCCAACACCAAGGCCAGTGTGCAAAAACGTGTCGTTGAGGTACTCGCGCTCAAATGGCGGCATGCCGCCATCTTCCCGAGTTTCACGGTTGAAGATTAAGTTGATGCCTAGCAATGTGGCGCCGAAGATGCCAGCGCCATAGAGCAAACGCTGTCGCAAATCTCCCTGAGCGAGTGGGTTGTATGCAGCTTGCTGGTAACTCCTTCGGAAAGCTTGCTGGAACCTTGATACATTTTGCGAAGATGATACCGTGGGCTTTGCTGGGCGGAAGAAATGTGGATGTTGCTTCAGTGGCGTGTTATGGAAGGCGCGGATTGAGAGTGATTGCGGTGAACTGTGTGTTGCTTGGCGCAATGTCGCCGTAATGGCGAATGGCCTCCGTAGGAGCGATGCCATTGTTGTGATGTGCCTTTAGCAGTGTTAGTGGTGGTGCAATGGCGAGCGGCGGATATGGTGATATAGGCAGACGAGTGGATGACGTTTTGCTGGTGGAAAGCGCGAGAAATGCCAAGCCCGCCTTAACTCCGAGAGAACCTTCAAGCCCCGCCACATTGATGAGACATCGAACAACATCAGTCATACTCGATGTAAGTTGATCTTCAGTCTTCTAGGGAAATCTCCCTTTGTGACTATAACCTGTAGTTGACTTCGATCATGTTCCGAGCCGCAAAATTTTGACTCTTCTTAGGTATTTCTCTTATATTCGCTCTCAGGAGCACTGCTCAGTAACAATACCGTCATTGTTTTCATTATCAGCGTAATGCGTCCGAAGAGGCTTCTAAAACACAACGGTAATTTGATAATTTGAGCTGGCTGAGCACAGTGACCGGCGACCATGCAGCTTTCGTAACATTTTCATAATGACGAACATGATGCATTCCTTAGTCGCATGCTTATTTGCGAACGCATATGCATAGTTTATACACACTCCATCAGTGCCTAGTACCCTTTTCCACGTACATAAGCATGTTGAGACTAGTGATAGTATTTGACATGGCCTTCTGCCATTCTAAAAGATTTCTATTGTAACGTATCGTAAATTCGCCTCATAGATCAAAACCACTCATACATAGACAGCTGCAATTCCGCATACAGCAAAAGAGGCCTCAAATCATTACACCCAACCTATAATACTACTACTTTATTTTTACATTACTAAAGGCTAGACCGCACAGTTGGCCAGTCTCCAAACGGGCTGAAATTCATTGTCAGGCTGAGTAATGCCATAATATGCAAAATCAGTACATCTCCTTGCATTCAATAAATCCCAGTCTATCGTGCCTCATTTACTCAATCGTTCTGAGATCACCGATTAAGCATTCAACCCCTCAATCTAACTCGAATCTTTTGGGAAAAAAAACTTTTACACTGAACATGAATACACTGTAAAGATCACAGCCGTCGAAATTGATTAGGTTTCATTCAGGAATCAAGTTCCTCAAATACCCATGAAAATGAAAACATTTCTAAAATCGGGTGATATATCTCATTGATAAATTCAAAATATTTATACAGCTGCTCTAGTGAAGATTCAGCGAACTGATATGCACATCCCCGAACACAGCAGGATTCACGAAGAAGGACGAAAAATTGAAACAGGCACCCACAGCATTTGCGTAGAGTATGAATGGCGTGATTGATTTTGTGAGGCAAAGTAATGCGAAACGTTGGGTACAGGCATGTGTTTAGGGGAGGAGTATCATTAGGATTGCGCTGGTGTTGGGAAGATGGGCGTAGAAATTGGAATAAGTGGGAGGAGGAGTGGACGAGGTGGTTTGGAGGGGAGGAGAGCTGGTAATTCCCTTAGGATGATTCTTCTTAGTTTTTTTTTGTTTTATTGGATTGAGATGAGAAGAGTGGTTGACGTTGTGGGGTTTCTATAATACTTGACTGATGTTGCCGCTTTCTCCGTTTGCATGTCGTACAGTGATTAGTGACCACATTATTTCATTCTCATTTCCCCTTACGTTATTTAAGAAACTGAAATTGCAATTTTTCTTTCCAGTTTTTTGACTTCCTTGGTTTCCCCGGGCTTCTTCAAACTCCTAGCGGGTATTCACACTAGCCTGAGACTATGCGTTGGCACAAGTATTAGGGTCACTCACTAATCCATAAAATGCTGGACCATCCTGTGGTTGTATTGTGCCGACATGATGTGTTTCCTGCTTCACCGCTCAGTGGTCCGTGATAAGATCAATCGTTCGACCTGTTGCACTTGCGATTCAATGCGTAAGATTTGCGCTAGAAAGGTTTATTGCAAATCAAGAGGCACCAAGCATATAATTGACTCACTATAGGATAAGAAGATGCATATTTCTATCCGACAGGCCAGCTTGTAGTCACGGATTGGGCCTTCACGGACGAAGTCTGTGAAACCTGAGGTACGAGAACGCGGGTTGACATCTGCGCTATGTAGCTAGAGTCGGTTGTCTAAGCAAGGTGCGCATGGACACCGGTACCTTTCCAAGAAGCAGACGTTCGAGTCGAAGTATATTTGGGTCGATCTTGTTGATCGTATGCAGGTGGTGCGGGTTGATGCACGGGTCAATGCGGTGTTGCCTGAAGATCAGCGGGGCTATCTGAACGTCAAAGAGGCGACTGTATGTGGGAGTATGGGCCAGTAAGCGCTTGTAATAAGCAATGCCATTGCGTAGCAGTTGACTGATCATGCGCATGAAGTGTGGCAGCTGCGGCTCCAAGATGACATGCAAGTGTCAGCAATGGTTTCCATGCAGTAATACTCCCGCTATAGATACCGTGTCCGTGCACCTCATGCACGGATTCATCTCGTGCACGCCGAACACCAAACGCGCGTCTCAGCGTCATAACTTCAACGCGCTATAACTCAACAACTATGGCTCCAATTGACGATGCAATTGCAGATTTAGAGTCGC